ATCATCTGCTTGGTTAGATAGTGTTCTTTTCCACTTGTTACCACACCTCCACATCATCTGCTTGGTTAGATAGTGTTCTTTTCCACTTGTTACCACACCTCCACATCATCTGCTTGGTTAGATATTGTTCTTTTCCTAGGAGATCTATGGTGATTTTTTCAGTATGTATTTCTCATTCCCTGTAGGTATACCCACGTTCAATGACTTTATATGAGCTTGTGTGGATGGACCTAATTTCTGCACTCAGTACATTAGGCCATTCATTTCTTCTCTACTCAGTGTTGGGTAAGTTAGATTTTTATAGTTCTTTTAACATCTAGGCTAATTTAGTTTAAACTTGTGTTTGGTGTTGATTATTCCTTTGTTTTTGTTTGCATTTTACCTCTTTTCACTGTTAATGTTAATTTGTTTGTAAGTTCTTTTTTTTTTTTACAAGTCGCATCTAATTGGGAATTAGAGTTAAACTTTATTATTGTTAACTGGGGACCCTTTATATTCTCATGCACTTTAGGGTCAGTTTTATTTTCATGTCCTTTGTCTTATAGATTCTTTGGGTAGAGTTATATGTTCAGGATTTAAGGGTCGTTTCTCTTCTCAGTTCCTTTAGTGGTTTTGTACTTTGGGTGTTACTTATTGTTTTCTGTTTTAGGTCAGATTTCATAGTTTTGCAGGTTTGTTATTTCTATGTACCTTGTAGACTTTAGATGCTTCTACAATTTTTTAGTTCATTAGTAATAAGTACTTTCCCTCAGTATGTTCAGTTTGTCTCTGGCTACCCTTCAAGACAGTTCCGTGGGTCCTATGGGTTCTGTCTGTGAGTTTCTGCCTTTGAGACCTACTACACAAAGGAGCTGTCAATTAGGTGGTATCCACTCAACCGGAATTTTACTCCTGTCTCTCTGTTGTCTCTAACATACATGGGAGATTTGCATCCCATCATAACTCTTTCTTGGCTATTTTCTTTTTCTGGAGACACCTTACTTCACTCTGGAGTCCTGCCTCTCACTTCAGTGGGTTTTTGCCCCAGTGTCACATCATTTTCATCGGTTCATTCACGAGGGTTCTGTCTTCCAGTTCTAAGCACTGCTGTTCAGTCTTTCTTCAGCTTAATATATGTTTAGTTGAGTGGTATGCTTTTTTCCACATCATCTTCACTCGCTGGGTCTTCGGGCTGTCTATTACATGGATGACTGGCTTCTGCTCATCTCTTCCCATGCCCAATCAGTCACTCACACCTGCTTACTTCTTCGAGAAGATGCTTGGGAGGGATTTCTCATCGAGTTGGAGAAGTCCTTTACTACCCCTTTGCAGTATCTTATTCATTTGGTTCTCTTCACTTCCTGTCTCAGTTGAGCCCAACTTTCTCCACTTTGGCTCCAGGATATGGAGCAGGCAGTCACAAAGGCCCTACCTTCTCCTTCTCTCTCTGCATGAGTGGTTTTCTCTCCTTTGGGGTTGTGGGCTTCCTTGGAAGCTCTCATTCCCTTAGGTCAGGTGCATATGCACTCCCTTCATTGGATGCTTCTTGCCCAGTGGAACCTTCCCCAAAATCCCTTGGGCCATCCCATCTCCCTGCAACCTGGGCTGACATTTCTTGGTGGCTTGACAGGGACTTGACAACAGTGGAGGTACCCATTCCTCCATCTTGTACTGAGTCTCATCTGTCTACAGATGCTTCCTTTGTGGGTTTGGGGTGCTTTTCTCGATCCCCTGGAAATTTTGGGTCAGTAGTCCAACATTTTCGAACACTTAAAATGTATTTCTGATAGGCACTTCCTATCCTTCCTCCCCACTGATTTGCTGGTGTTTCTGGTTTATATCTGCAAATTTTCAAAAGTGAGGATTGTGCTGAGTATGATTGGTGGAGAGTAGTCACATGATAAGCACATGTTACTGCAATGGCACATATATGAAGTTTATATAAAAGACTGGTGCATTGTTGAAAATTTTTAACAATGCTTAGAGATTAAATCAATGTTGAGATAGGTTTGGGTGATAGGGGGTAAGTACCTATTGGAAATACATTTTCAGTGTTAAAAAATCTTAACATCATTTGCTGAACTTTTTGTATTCTTTATTATACAAACTTTGGAAATTTTATAAAAAAACAAATTTTGCATGTTTTAGTAAACAGTATCTCAGGTGATTAAGAACATTGATAAACTTTAACCAAATGAATTTTATATTGTAAATTTTATAGGTATGAAGTGATATCACTTGCATTCAATCAATCCTGGGGCATAAATATATCTGCTCAAACTAAGGAATCTAAAGTAGTGGGGAAAATGTAAATCATCTTGGAATCTCTATGACAGGAATCAATACTGACACATTATTTTATCAGTTACATGTGTAGCCAGTACTCTTAGTTTCACTGTGTTGGTACTGCAAAGATATATAATGCTCTTATACACACTAGAACTGATTTTGTCTGTAGGTGGTTTAAGAGATTAATTGTTCTTTAGTCTTGACTTAAAATCAGATTAAATGTTAAGTGTAGGTTATCTATCTGTGATTCTTTTTCAGCTATTTTATTCCAAGGTGCCACTCATCAATTTTTAAATTATCAATAGTTATAAATATTAATAATCTGACAAAACAATATATGACAGCCCATATAATTTCAGTTTGATTTATTTATTGATATGGATTTTTTTTTATGAATATTTTTAGTTTCTTCCTTCTAAAGTAGATGGTACGGATGATCACATACTAACTCATGGTTAATCTTACATCCAATTTTTAGCAACACAGTCATGTGTGATCAGAAGTAATATGTATACTGACATTTTGGAGTTAGTGTCGTACATCCAGTAAATATTGATAAAGAAACTAAAATGTATATATGTTTCAACGCTAACATCCAAATTTTGTTTCTACAATACTTAAATATAAAAGTTACATATGTATAAAATTGGTAATGTTTCTGGAAGTCTATGCTTTTTATAAAGGTTTCTTACATGTACAATAAGAAGATTTTATTGATGTTTCTTTCAATTTCATAATTTCAGTATGGGCTGTACACTGCTTTTATGGGCTGTTTTATGTATGTCATATTTGGAAGCTGTAAGGACTTGACAATAGGACCTACAGCTATAATGTCAATTATAGTCTCTGAACATGTCCATGTTGGAGGAATTACTTACTCAGTGTTGCTCACCTTTCTCTGTGGATCCATCCAACTGTTAATGGGGATTCTTAACTTAGGTAAGTTTGAGAAAGTAAAACACATTTTATTTACTAATAAAACTAAGATTAAGTTTCATTACTCTTTGTCCAGTTTTGTTTTAGGTAAATGGTTAGTTACTTCTAACTAATTTTTAGTAAAATATTGAAGATTCTCTTCAACTCCAAATACATTAATGAAATTGATTAGTGTTAACATTACGCATGTCTAAACTATTGTGATAATCAAACATCTTACAACTAATACAGTACAAACATAAGTCACATTTAAACATGTTGTTTTTCATAAATTACTTGCATTCTTCAGTTCAAAAACTTTCAGCTATTTATGTTTATTTTTATAGTATCTGATGTCTTCTTTTTTATTTTGTAACTTCTAGAACTTGTACTTCTATTTCTAATCTCTTCTTCTTTCTCCTTTAATTATATTTTTCATTGTGTAGGTTTCTTTTCCAATGTCTTTTTAACCATTTGTTATATCAATTATATATATATATCTTCTACTTTCTGCAGTAATTAATGGTTGATTTTTTGTTTATTTTTTTTATTATGTTTTTTCTTTCCTCTATATTGAGAACCACAACCACATGTTATTCTGTCAGAGGACCAACATGCGCCTTTCATTTTACCAACATTCTACTCTAATTTCTTTACATTATATGGAATTTTATCAGACCTGTTCCTACTTCCCACAACACAAAAAGTCACTGCTACAGATTCCACCATCACAGCATCAACCTACATGCTTCCATGTTGCTTCGACATGCCAATTGCAAAACTAGATACTGTGATGTTACCTTCATAACTCACATTTTCTGCTGTGTTAATTTCCAACTTTACCACTTACCAAGATTCTTTTAAAATCATGAAGCTTTAGTGTTTTTTAGAGTTCTTGTAACTTTTACAAGCCTACATGCTTTTCATTTTTTGGTATGTCATTGTTTAATTCACATCTTAAATATATTTGCACTCAATGCACGTGGCCTTTATTGTGAAGTTTATATGTTTGAGAACTTTGACATTTAATGTTTCAAATACTATTATTATTTTCTTGTATAATTTATATTTAATGCTGCTTGGGACACGTAGTCTATGTTAATGTTATGTATTAATTACTAATAACTTCTAATGAAAATTAAATTAATCATGTGTAAGAAACTTAAGGATGTACATATGTTTTACATGCACATAAAATATCCAACACCTGATAATTATGACTTTACCTGGTTTTTAAAACACAACTTTCCGAGTAAAATCTTGATTTGTAATTTTTTACAGGGTTTTTAATAAATTTTATATCTGCACCAGTGATTAGTGGCTTTACGTCTGCAGCTGCAATTACCATTGCTACAACTCAGTTGAAGGTAAGGTTTAGAAGTATATTCTGATCTGTTTCTACAGTATTAATAATAAGTTTTCATTTAAAAATTCAAGTTTTTATTAATTTTTTTGGTTTTAATTCTGTACATTCACGTTTCATAATTTAGATATTTAATGTAAAATATTATGGCTATATCGAGAAATTTTTCATATTATAAAAGTTAGAGATTCAGCTAGTTGATATTATTTACTTGAAATACAGTCTTTTGTAGATTTTTATTGGTTATATGTAGAAAAATGTTTTGAATGTGTCATTTGTACTGTGTATGTAATACACTTAATGCTTTACAGGTATTTGATAGTTGTTGTTGTTTTTTCTATCTTTCTTTTGTTTTGTTTTTTTCAACCTTTTTTGTTACTGTCCCTAATTTCTACTATAATTATGACAGTAGAGTTGCTTGATGTAATGAAGATAAAACTTGTATTTCTTTTTTAATGGCAAAAAAAGAGAAAAAATGTAACTTTTTGTGAAATATTGATAGTTTCTTTAAATTTATATGTTGAGAAGCATTCCATAATTAATATATAGTTTTATTTATGACTTAGCAGTTTTGTTAATACCATGTTCAGAAAAATTTTATGTTGCCCAGTCCACAAGGTTGTTTTTTTAAACACTGTAATGAGTTATTTGAATGCGCATAAGTGCAGGAATGTGCTGGAACATTATTACAAAAGTAATGAGAAACTGTAATGTGGAATTATTGTACTTAGAAATTAAATGCATAAAATAAAAAAGTAAAAAAACATCAGATTTTTTATACTGGGAACAATTTCATGTTTGTTGTAATTTTTCAATCCTTTTTTATTTTTTTCAGGGTATATTTGGTCTGAGTTTTAGTTCTGAAGGATTTATAGACACTTTACATCATTTGTTTGACAACATTTCTAGCACTAAGTAAGTGGTTGGTCAAAAAAAAAAGTGTTGTTTCATAATTACCTTTGTTGTTTTTCTGTATCATTCCTCAAATGTATATAACTTCTTTTTTTAATTATTATTATTATTATTATAGAATTAAGTCATCACACAACACTGAACTCAGTTTTCTCAGGGACCGAGTTTTAACTTTTCCTGCTAATGAAAGAATTTCAAAATGTTTCTTAGTAAAATTGTCTACAGTTTGCCAATGTTGGGTGAACAAAAAATAACTAAGCTCTCTGTTGCTTGTCTTGAAAATCTGACCTTAGGGTTGCTTACATTTAATAAAATTAACTCAACAATCGTATTGTTTACTGCAGTTTTTCCTTCATAAACTTTCCTTATTTCATATGTTTAAAATTTTTGTTTGATTTCCACTGAGAAAGGAGGTAATCCAGTGTCATTATGTAGATTTTTAAAGTGAAGGGGCTAAACATATACAAAAGAAATAAGATACATAAAATAATAAAATTAAAACAGATAAAAGTAATTACATAATCTTCATTATTTTAAAATTCCATTGACTTGAAAATATGAATCTCTAACAATATATTTGAAGCTAAATACTCTTATATTGCTGCTAAGAAGATACACATTCATTTCTCATGCAATTATAAATAGAGGTATTGTATCATATGTTGCATCTTATATTAATTTTATTTGTTATTAAAGTAAACTCTTTTTTTTTTTCAGTTACATTTGTAAAGAGAATATATTTTATATAATTCTTTGATATTGTTGCGTCAGCGAGGTCACGTGACTAGTATCACGCCATGTCCTTTTCGAACCTTCATGAATTATCGGGAGATTACTAGATTGGGGGTAGTCTGGTATATATAAGACGCTCACAACGTGACGGAACAAGGTAATGAGTAATTGAACTGTGATCAGAGAGTGTGTAATTGAACTGAGTATTGTTGAAGTCGAGCACGTGAGACGTTTATTGAGAATTATAGCACGACTGTTGAAATTAAGTGTATCGCAAAGTTATATTCGGAAAGAATAAACCAGTTTCATTTAAGAAAGGATTGTGTCGCTAAAGTTTCATCGGAACGAATTTACGGAAAATTAACAAACGAACGGAGACGTAACAATATATAAACAATTATAGATTAAGTATAAGATTAAACTTAAATATGATGTAGCTCCCAAAATTCTTATATGAAAATTTCCTTAACACATGTGAAATAATTTTTCATTTACACTTAAAAAATCTAACAGTATAATGATCTTCAAAATGTTTATATAAAGTTTAAAAAAGAAGAAAACCCAGCTAAAATAAGATGGATAAAATACCCAATATAAAGATGTTAATGTGGCATTGTCAGGTACAAATTGAATACACCCAATGATGATGTCATGAACAAAACTTTTACCTCCAGCATTTATATTAAAATAATGTTGTTTGAAAAAGAATGAAGTTTAACTAATTTCATATACAGTCTTGTAGATGTTTAAAAATGTAAAACTACTGTGTTATTTTACTAGAATATGTAGCTATATAACAATTTAGAAATTTACATTTTTTTTTATATTGTTTATTTTTTTTTTTGCCTCTAGCATTGCTGACATGTTATTGGGATTTTGTTCTGTGATTTTATTAGTCATTATTAAGGTAAGATTCTTTCTGTGTGAATATTAATGACTTGTATATTATAATTGTATTATTCTGTGCTGTTCCTAGCTTCCAATGTGGTCTTACGTCATTCACACAAAGCTATCTTTATCTTCTTTCTGCCCCCTAAGCATTGCTTAAAACATTTAATGCTCAGTGCACCAGTCTACATATCCCACAAATTTCATGCACTTTTAAACATGTATATAGCATGTGACCACCCTCCACCTGTATTTGTGCAGCTAGCTCCCTCTGATGTTCCTGCTAAATCCTCACTTTAATGATTGGCAAAACATTGTTTAGACAAGTATTTTTTTTTTGCATGTGACTACCATTTATGATAGTACTTTGTTTATATTTCAATACCTTTTACAACAGTTTTTGCAGCCAATTATTTCAGTTTTATTTTTTACCTTTGTTTTATTGCTCCCAAATTATACAGTAACTTAGAATGACTTAGTGATTCAATGTATTGACAATGGAAACTCCTGTTATGGTAGATAACGCTTCTGGTATGACTACCCAGGCATTTGGTTCGACTTTATCTTCTGAGGATGTACAGGCCTCAATTTGCAGGGAGTTAGTTTCCTATGTTCAGCCAGCAATTTCTTCCCATTTTCAACCTGACAATGTCTCTGTGGATTAATACAATCAAGGAGATAAAACTGATTCACTTTTTCCGGCAAGTTCTTATTTGGTCTGTCACACTCTACACTTTTCACAGCTGGTTAATGAAGTATGTGGTATATTACATGTTTCCTTTTCCTCCTAGCTTGCAGACGTCGTTGATCAGAGTTTTATGCTGTTAGTGTTACCAGAATCCTCTGCCATTCCTCTCATATCATAGTATATCCAGAATAGTCCTTCCTCCCTAAGACTTCCTTTGCCTGGGAAGGCCATTTGGCTTTGACATCCGTTTCTTTACTTTCCATCTCCCACCTGTACTCCCATTCTGATTAGCTTCCTTGTCAGGTTCACTCCCAATGGTGTTATGTGCCACTTACTGCCTCATTTAGGAGTTCACGTTCTCGACTTTATGTTCCCTGGAACCCTTGTGTTCCCTTGATCTATCCCATGTCACACTAACTTGTTGGGTTTATCAACTCCTTAGACTGATGTATTCAGATTTATCCATGGAAGGTTGCCATCTCCTCAATGTTTCTTTTTGTCAAATTTGTTATATCACCATGTCTTTGGCTGCATGTCTTCACTGTCCATTGGAAGAAATTGTTCAGGCTGGAATGTGGCCTACTCCCTATTCCTTCATCACTCATTACCTGCTCTATCTGGTTGTTTCTTTCTTAGGTGGATATCTTCTCCCTTCTATGGCGATTCTACCGATGACTGTTTGCTTTTGACTTGGATATGTCTTTTCACAACATTTCATTTATGTTTGCTTTTCAGGGACCCTCTTTTACTGCTACTCATAGGATCCCACTCTTTAGCAAGTGTTGCCTTGCCATATGTGCTTTTACTCAGACCTACACTATACACCGGTAGATCTGTAGTGCTCACTGTAGAGATGGGTGTTTCTCAATAATGGCATATACTTATATGTCTATAACTAGCTGGAAGTTTAACTCAGTGGTGGACTGTTTCTCTTGGACTATCATGAGTAAAGCAAAAGAGGATTTCTGCCCATTCCTGCCAACTCTGATTGCATAAATGGGTACGGTCTGCTTTTCAAAATAACGAATCATGAACACCCATTACACCTTCTCCAGTGTGATGTTTCTTTGGACTTCTCACTTCTTTTACTTCGCCCTTTTTTTTTCTCCAAGTAGAGCACAGGAGTCCTTACCACGCACCAGTTCCCAGTCACAGAGGT